ATCTCTGACTAACTGCCCAGAGGAACTCAAGGGTGGTTCCGAGCATTTAACTGTTTAAGAGATGCAATCACCAACCACCCTGAACCAGACCAAGTCCCACCACAGGAGGGATGCCCATGACCTTGGCCTCATTTTTAATGCTGAGATCCTCTCCCTGGGAGGAGCTTAGGCCTTATTACCATGACCTGCAGAGTATGTGGAAGCACATTTTCCAACTGAGCCTGTGCAGGTGAGTACCCACCCCTCCCTTTTGAATATTCATTCCCCATCCGAAATAAATGTCCTTGCTTCCCTTTGTTCTGGACAGTGACAATTCACATTCACATTTGGAAATTATTCCTAATGGTCTCCTATTTGCTGCAAATAAGCTCTACTTTGTGTGACAACTACTTCTGGCTGAGAGTCGGATGTTAACTCTGCCAGGAGGCGAACACACTTGGTTCTGTAACAAAACCAGTTAGGAGGATGTTAATTGTAGTAGAGGCAATAGATCATGATGATTTGGACTAGGTGGTAGCAATGGTCATAGAGAGAAGCTAATGACTCCAAATTAAGAACTAACATATAGAGACTTGCCAATGGATCAAATGGGTGGCAGGCATCCATGGAGGGAATCAAAGATGAAAAGATTGTGTTTGTTTTTGGATGATGGCCTTGCTCTCTGGGTAATGGAGATGCCTGAGGAGAAGAACACATCTTCAAACAGAGAATCAATAGTTAATGTTTTAGATACATAAGTTGAAGATATCTGTGAACCAGCCAAGTGGATATGTCAAGTCAACTATTGGAGACGTGAGCTTTCTATTGCTCAGAGCAGAAGTCTCCACTAGAGATACAAATGAGGGCGTCATCAACCAACTGACCCCTGAGAGATGCCAAGACTAGAGCCCAGGTAAAGGAGGGGCAGCCGCCCCAGGAGAGTGAGAAGGGACAGTGTGCTGGGAGGGGTGTCACAAGAGTCATTTTCCTGGTGCCAAGAGATACTGTTCCCAGAATTTGGGCCCACGAAAGGTGAGGACAGAAACTGCCCCTGGATCGAGCATTATGGAGGTCATTACTGTCTTAACAACAGCATTCTCATCGGAGTATTAAGGCAAAAGGCAGTGGGAGGTGGCAGCAGCGTTGGTTAGAATGGGAAGCAGTAGAGACATTATGCGGAAGTCTGGCTGTGAAGGGGAGCAACAAAATTTTTTTGCACTGCTTGCAAAGCCCATTTTAGTCCATAAATGCTCAATGAATGTGAAATTAATCTTAGTAAATAGTTATCAGTGTAGATCCAAAAATCTAACAAATGCCTGGGTATATATTATGAACTGTTTGAACAGAATTATTAATATTGAACTCTATGTATGTCTGTAAATGAAGGATCCTAGGAGTAGCAGCGTGTTGGGAATAAGGGAGCAACTGGGAGCAATTTCCCTTCCAGTTGTTGGGCTCCGACCATGAACTCTTCAAAGCCTTCACCACCATCCCAGTCCAGATTGCACCACAATCTGACTACAGATCTTCATATGAGTGTCATTCATCATAAATTGTTCTAGGACCCAGAAGAGAAGAATGGTGCCATCCAAATACTACTGATACTTTACGGTAGAAATGACGAGACCATTTACTATGTCTCAGTGACATATTCTTTAAAAAAAAGCTAACATTATAAGGTGGGGCTTTTATTTTTTTGGCTTCTTGATTATACCTTTCTGTATAAATAATACTTATGAAAGGTCATTTTAATACATGATTTATATGATGATATTTTATAGTGGAACTTTTTTCCCCTAACTAAAATTTAGATTATACAACCTTAAATAATATATTCTATTTTCTACAAGGAGTAGGTGTTACACCAATTTTTTTAATATAATCTTGGTTAATTTCTTTTATTTAAATCTTGGGAATATTTAAATATGAGTGGGAATATAAAGGAAATATAATTACACTAAAAATCAACAAAATTTACTGAGAATTATTTTATGAAACAATTTAGGAAACATCCATTTTGTTATAGCAAATAGGTTCTAAGAAGTATTTATTTTGAGGCTGAATAGTAATGATATAATCAGATCATATAATTTGGACACTTACAATTTTAATGATACAGAAACTGCTCCTTTTATTTAAAGATAATACGTATTAGTTTATAGACTCTATGTCTGCCTAGAAGTACATTACCATTATCACATGTCACTGTGATGTCCCTAGCTCTAGAAGGTAAATAATTGGCGCGCATTTAAAACCTAATTACGGAGTTCCGTTACCTTGTAAAATAGTGCCACTGGCACTCTGAAAATAATTTCAGCTCTTGGAAAAGAACTGAATCTGTGTTTAAAAAAAAAAAAAATTGTGTATGCAACTGGAATGCATTGCAATTTCTAGCTTGTTTTATAGTTTATGTGGACAGAGAGCAAAACGTACTGAAACTTTTTGTCTGTCATCATTTTATTTACATAAGAATAAAGAGGTAAAATAATTACACAAAAATTTATAGCCCACATTCCTTTTGGTTCTATCATCCTAACTATGGAAAGGAATCATTATGTTTTAATAATTTATAAAGCTCGTCCTAGGCTCCCCCAGACAAAGCACACTCGTGTTTCAAACGATGCCGTATAAACACAGACAATAAATCTACTTACGCAGAAAACTATATGTGGCGTATCTCTACTTGTCTTCTTAATGATTAACTTGAGATCTATTCTTTCTTTACTTTTTCTTTTATATTTTGCAAATCAGGAGAAGCAAGGGAGAAAGAAAAAGATAAAGGGAATACAAGTATCGTACAAATTACTGTGTTAAATTGTTTCCCTCTGCAGACCAAACAGAAAATGTTGTCTATATTTCAGGCAAACCAGACACTGGTACAAAATTTGATTGGCACAGTTGATCGTGGAAACCCTCATGCGTAGTACGGTCTTAGGTTACCAATGGTCACCATTATCATTCAGGTTTGCTTGAGTGGTGCTTCAAGGAGATGTGCCTTTTACAGCGTGTATGAGGATCTGTTTCTTATCTGAATATAATTTGCATGAATTATAATTTTCATGAAAGGTTAACCTTCACTTCTGTGTGTTTTATTTCAGTTGATTATAGTTCTTATATTGATCATGCTACCAAATCTGCCTTGTAATTATGAAATTTCATGTTGTACTGATTTAAGTCTCTTTTACTTTTATGCTGCAAACTATTATTTCTTGAACGAGTGCTTTCAATGTGTACTTTTTTTTTTAAGATTTTTTTTAATTTTTTCCTTTTTCTCCCCAAAGCCCCCCGGTACATAGTTGTATATTCTTTGTTGTGGGTCCTTCTAGTTGTGGCATGTGGGACGCTGCCTCAGCGTGGTTTGATGAGCAGTGTCATGTCCGCGCCCAGGATTCGAACCAACGAAACACTGGGCCGCCTGCAGCAGAGCGCGCGAACTTAACCACTCGGCCACGAGGCCAGCCCCCTCAATGTGTACTTTTGTCATGTCTTCATATTTAAACAAAATTGCTAAGGAAGCAGCAATTATCATAACAAAGCTAATATAGTGAGTAATACTGTGGAGAAAATAGGGTATCGTGAATTAGGTTAGTAAGAGCTGCTGACAAACTTTTGCTCCAGCTCATGACTTCGACCCAGGCTTTCAATGCCGAACGTCAAACTAGTACAAGAGGAGATTAGAAAATAAGCATTTAAATTGTTTTCAGTATTTCCTAAAGAGAAAAGTCTGCACAACGTGAGGACATGCCCTGAGCTCCTTTTGGAACCAAGGGGGAGAGAAATAAATTATTTGCAAACTGCAACTGCAGACCCTAAGCCAGGGCAGGCTCTAAAAAAGGGGTGGGGCCCAGGAAAGGGGTGGAGCCTAGGACAGGCACACGGGCCCTAGGTAAACCATGATGAGTGGGTAACCGAGGCAATGTGGTACTACTTAAATCTGTGAGTATGCCCTTAAATTAAAGAGGGGAAATATTTTTAATATAATATGAAAAATAAATTCGTGTTTCCACGTTGAATCCTCTGCTTCTGCAGTGAACTGGTTGATCGTTCATTCTGCACACTGGTTACATTCTCCTGCCCCTGGGCTGCTGCTCTCCTTGAAAGTCTGTCCACAAACTCCACATGGTCGCAAATGTCTATCTACGTAGGGTTCAGAGCAACTGCATTTTACTATAAAAAGCCTCTTCCGCCGCCTTAAAGAGATTCTTCCCTGCCGATGACCCCCAAAATAATTTAGTTGCACTTTGCTACTGGCACGTTACTTTCTAGCACATAGTGTTTGTTATTTACGTATGAGAAATCCTGTAGCATAAAGATTAAAAATGTGGGCTTGGAATTCAAGTCACAGCCCCGCCACTTAGCTGTGTAATTCTAGGCAAGTTAACCTTTGTGTTCCTCATTTTCCTCCTCAGTAAAATGGGAAAATAATCTTACCTCCCTTGGAGAGTTCCGAGTATTAACAACTTAGATATAGCAAAGAGCATGTCATCCTCACCTTTGCGACTGACCCTGTGTCTTGCACACAGGCTCTCAGACTAGCGAAAGAATTGGGGACATACTGATTCCTAGAAATTAGAAAGTCAGTTTAAGTATTTAAAACTTTGATTTGTCTATGGATTTCCTGACGTGCCTTAAGAAACAAATGACATAAGATACAAGTTTTACACATAAAATCTAGAGAATGAGTAAAAGTACTATTATCTAAAATATATGGACACAGAATCTTCAACTGAAATTACTTCTTTTTCAATTTGAGGGTTAATTTTGCTTTCTAGTTTTAAAATAAGCCTGCATATTTGTAATTGCTTTAAAAATCATGTTTTGTTTACAGCAACCTAGTGAAATCGTGGTATCCTTGAAAAGTCGGAGAGCAATTGTGCCTTTTTTCCTGCAACCCAAACATCTGCAGAACTTCAGCGACACAAATCAAACCTACTTGTGCTCTAACGTGTAACCTAAGCGTTTACTTTGTTTGGTGTCATTGGTGTTCCTTTTGTAAATGACGTATCTTTGGTTTTGCTTAGGGCCTGAAGGGGCTCTTTTTGAACATTCGGTGGAGACACCCCTTGTAAGCGCCGACCCGTTTGAGGACCTGAGGTAAGAATTTTGTTCAAATATAAGCAGATTCTCGCATGGAAGATCCTGGATATGTGCTGGAGTGACATTTTAGCGGTTATTACCGGACTGCTTCTTATGGCACCAGTTGTCCTTATTCTCATGACTTTCCCCCTGCAACTGGTCGTTACGATCTAAAATCCGAGGGAAGGCAAAGCACGACTGGTTCTCCCGCTGATTGTCTCGGAGCTGGGGCCCCTTGACCATCCCTGCCCTCCTGCTTCCTTCACGCTCTGTGCTGTCCCTACAGCCTATTGCTGCCTCCAGCGTGCTCCTCTCTAACCTGCCCTTCACACTGACAGCACAGGGACTTTGCTAAATGCGACTATTTACAAGGTTTCATGGCTTGCGCGTCAGCCACAGGAAAGTGGACCTCGGCCCGGGGGCGCTCACGCCGCCCCTCCGTGAGGCCACCCCCGCCCCCCGCCCGAGCTGGGCTCCCGCCGGCTCTGCAGCCTCCCGCCGCGCAGCGCCTCCCGCCTTCCCTGCCCTCCCAGGCCTGAGAGGAGCCATCCCCTCCCACTCCAGACCTTTACACAGTTGTCCCTTCTGCCTGGACTGCCCGCCTTCCCCCGGAGACCTCCTGAATGCCTGCTCGTCCCGAGGTTTTAGTTCGCCCACTGTGGGTTTATGATCCATGTATTTCACAAACCCGTCGTTTTTCCCTGAAAAGCGTCAGCATGAGTCTCCTGAAATTTTTCACAATTTTTAACAGAAAACGTTCACCTATTCATATTATGCCACCCATCTCTAATACTTCTGTAAACAAGGCGTATGTAAATTTGTTCTTAAGCAGAGTCTCCGTGTGCCTGTGTGTATTTCACTCCAGGCTACTGAATGTCATTTACTGCTATAACTGTTTATTCCAGTAGTTTATTTGTACTTCATAAGAAAACCAAATAATATTTTTAAAACCAAGTGTCTTAAAGTCTAAGATATCCCTTAAAATTACATTTAGAATTTGAACTTAAAATGTATGCAGGACAATTAACATTTTCTATATATATTATGTACAATGGAGGAAATAAAGTATAGTAAGGAACCCAGCTTTACACAGACGAGCCTGGTGACCTCGGCCAAACTAACCTTTTGAGAGTCTTTTTTCTCACATATTAAATGTTGACTGTGATACACATCTCAGAATGTTCTAGGAAAGATTTAATAACTGATTAGGTTAAAAGTATTTTGTAAACTGAAAGTCAAATACAAATAATCATTTTTATTATCATTATTGTACCAAGTATTCTCGTTAAATGGAATAGAAGTTGGGAAATCCAGCATTTCTCTTATCTTTAATGTCTAATTAAATATTAATCAAAAGCGAATGCAAGTTCAATTCATCTTACCCACTTAGAGAACATTTGCAGCATAAAAATAAATTGTGACCATAATTAAATTATAACAATTTCATTAATTTTGATAAAGGATCATAAGATCAATATTACAGAATTATTATAGTTAGGGAAGAAGAATATTTTACTTTCCTAGGATGGAAAAATGATTCAATATCTTTAAAAGATAATCCCATTAAAACCACTTTGAAATTATAAAATAATATAAATTGTAGAGATGTCAAACCACTTTTTAAAGTAAATGTCACCATTTTAAAATATATAGATCTGGAAATTAAACAATTCATTGTATTTTGTCCCATTAGGACATAAATCTGCTAGCTTATACAGCAGGCCCTTATTAAAAAAGAAGTGGCATAGGGGGCCGGCCCCATGGCTGAGTGGTCAAGTTCCCTTGCTCCCCTTCAGCGGCCCAAGGTTTCCCTGGTTTGGATCCTGGGCACGGACATGGCACCACTTGTTAGGCCATGTTGAGGCGGCGTCCCACATGCCACAGCTAGAAGCACCCACAACTAAAATATACAACTATGTACTGGGGGGATTTGGGGAGAAAAAGCAATTAAAAAAAAAAAGATTGGCGACAGTTGTTAGCTCAGGTGCCAATCTTTAAAAAAAAAGTGGCAGAAGATTATTCTCTTGCTTTTTAAAAGGTGATATTAAGGGAGGATTATGTAACCCAAGTGTTACAACCAAAGCGATTGAGAAAATAATAAAATTGTGAAAAATTGATGAAGAATGTGGTGAGGATGGAAGGCGTGAACTACCATGCATTGAATGCCTTCAACTACCGGGCACCGTGCCCTGTGCTATCTCCTAACTCATCTCATTTAACCATCAACTCAACCTTAAAAGTAATCAATTTTATCCCCATGTTATAGAAGAGAACACTGAAATCTAGACAGTAGCATGTTCTGAGGCACAAAGATAAAAAAGTAGCCAACTCGTAATGCAGTTCAGCTCTCACTCCAGAGCCCTTGTACGCTCTAAACTTTTACTCTCTCCACCACCCAAGCGGACCCTGGAGGATTTATTCTTTGATTTGCTACCACATGCCACTGATGGCATATATGATAGTCACATTTGCTTCTGTAAATTCCTACCATAAACTGTCTTTCACTTTTTATTTCTGGATCCACAGCATTACTATTCCCGGGCTGAGCAAAGTGAAAAAGACTCTAGAGTATCCTAACTGACCTATGGATTTTGTAGGGTAAAGGTCATGACACATTTATAAATATATTTCTGAAATATATATATTTAAATATCACAATTTAAATTTCTATATTTGCTCAAATGATAGTCATAGAAGGGTGACAATTATTATATTCTTTAAGAAGAAAGATAATTAACTTATATTGAGGTTAGATTCACTTTTCTTATGGCAAAATCATTCACAAGAAAAGTATGAACTCTGGCATACTGCCTTAAAGCCACTTTTCATTCATATATGATATTTTTTTTAATTCAGCAAAAATATATTAAAAGTATTTATCTGCCAGAATCTATGATAGATACTCATTCTACAGTGATAAAAGGCATGGTCCTTGATCTTAATGAGTTTAAAGTCTATTGGAAAAAGAAACATGCAAAGAAGCTAGAACAATATAATTCATTGCTATGATGAAAGTACAAATTATAATGAGGGCGTAGGAGAAAGAGTATAAAATCTACCCAGAGGAATCTGAGCTGATATCACAGAGAAGGAAGAATTTGAACTGAAACTTAAGGAATCAGTAGAAGTGAATATGGCAGGGTAGACTGTAAATCCTCCGCAACCCAATAGAGATGTGATGGCAATTAAATAAATTATTTTTGTAAATTGCTGGGAACAATGCCTAGCACATAGCCAGGAAAATATGTCTTTATTAGACAAGTAAAATGAGCAGATGTGGAAACATTTGCTCTTGTATCTCAAACACTTGTGAATATTGATTTACTTAATAAGAGTTTGTAAATACCAAGCTCAACTAGAAACCAAGAAAAGCTAATTCTCAGGTCCCAGTAATACAGAGGAAATTCATGGCCAGAGCAGAAAGTGGGAGCTAAGCCAAGGTACTTGTGGAGAAATCAAGATCCCACAGAGGTTAAAGGCTGGGGCTTTAATAATATCAGAGACTGAGATTCCTAATTCTAGCCTAGCGTGCATGAAATGCCTGGACTGGGATGCCTTGTAGTCCTGGCCTCTCATGAAATAGGTATTTCGAGAAATTTACCTAATAGCCCAAGGATGCTGCAAGAGAGATTACTATCTTGGGCTGTGGGTTGAAAAAGTTACCCGCAAGAAGTCATGAACTACAAGCCTTTGCTTGGCCAAAGTAGGAGAACTAAATCCACGCAACCTCATTGCTTAGGAGCCCCAGGCCAGAAATCGAACATTAAAAACTGCACCGAAGTCTATAAAACCGACAGGTAAGTTAAAAAAAAGAGTAACTCTGTTGAAGAAATTATCCCAGTACCCGTGACATAAAAACACATATGGAAAACAATCCCTGCTGAAGATGAGCTTACTAAGAAGAAAGAAAAAGACAAATGGATAAGGAGTTGAACTACCTTACTACGACTATAAGGAGAGAATTAGCAGCCACTACAGCAGCCACTCCTAACACTCTAAGGAGAGCAAAGTGAAGAGATTTTTAAAACAGATATGAATAAAATGCTCAAAGGGGAAAAACTTGAATAGGAGGGTAAGGCAAAGACAAGATAGTATAAAAGTGGCAGATTTGGAAAATAACAAAATAGAAATTCTAGAAATGAGAGATCAAGTAATTAAAATTAGTGGCAGCCAGAACTTGGTTTCTCGAACCATTCTCCAATCAAAGGAGTCAGGATTCCTTGGGGAAATGGCTCTTTCTAGGACTGAAGCAGGAAATATAGAAGATGCATTTGGACCCTCTTGTAGTGCCAGTAAGAAGTGCTCAAAAATCAAAATAATGAGGACCCTCCCAGTGGCACAGTGGTTAAGTTCATGTGCTGTGCTTCAGAGGCCTGGGTTTCGATGGTTCAAATCCTGGGTGCGGACTTAGCACTGCTTATCAGCCATGCTGTGGTGGCATCCCATATAAATAGATGAGGATGGGCACAGACATTAGCTCAGGGCCAATCTTCCTCAGCAAAAAGAGGACGATTGACAGCAGATGTTAGCTCAGGGCTGGTCTTCCTCAAGAGAAAAAAAAAATCAAAATCATGAGAGTGTGTCAAAAGGACATAGGATGCAACTGAAGGAGCTCTCAATGGCCAAAGCTGGACAATGTAAGTAAAAAAAAAAAAAAAAATTTAGGGGCTGGCCCAGTGGTACAGCGGTTAAGTGCACACATTCTGCTTCGGCAGCCTGGGGTTTGCCAGTTCAGATCCCGGGTGCAGACATGGCACTGCTTGTCAAGCCATGCTGTGGTAGACGTCTCACATATAAAGTAGAGGAAGATGGGCACGGATGTTAGCTCAGGGCCAGTCTTCCTCAGCAAAAAGAGGAGGATTGCCAGCAGTTAGCTCAGGGCTAATCTTCCTCAAAAAAAAAAAAAAAAAACCACACATTTTAATGTAGTATTAGATTGTAATACAAAATTGGTAGGTGTCAAATCTCCATGATTTTTAGATTTCATCAGATACATTTTAATAAGTGATGTTTTATTT